TCAGCCTTAAACTAGAGGGCATAGGTTACATCCATATCTAGGTGCCTTTAAAAAAAAGTTATCTTTAGGTTTGTTTCAAGATGTATTGTAAAACACCTGCTACTGTTAGTTTTAATAATTGAAGGTAAATTGGTATTCGCTGAGCAATGCTATATATGAGTGCAAGGTGCTGGAGGGTAAATTGATGGTTAAGACTCAGGGTGGAAGGTTGAAAAAGCATGAGTAAACACAGGCGGGTTTATATTCCTTTAGGTACTGCCAGGCTTTTAAAACTGTGACCCACAGTAGGAAATACATGTAAGCTGGAAGCCAGACACACACTTATATATATGTAGTTTCTTGAACCATAGTATTAAGAAATAATACCTACCCCATACTACCTGGCTTACCCAACAGCTATTTTTTTTTTATAATATTGTTTTTTATTTTGTTTTCTTTAAAAATGTTTGTTCTTATTGACAAAGTTGATGTCATGATCTAATTGAGCCAGTGGAGGGTTGTGGCTAGCAGTTTGGAAACTGTTTAGCTAGTGGTGCGGTATGGTTGAAATGTAGAGAACATCGAGTCATGCAGTGAGAGATGACACTTGGTATTTGCTTTGGTTCCTTAAAGCTACTTTTTTTTTTTGTCTTGCTCCTAACCCTTTATAAATAGTTTAATTTTTTCCTTCTCTTAATTTTTATAGTCTGTCTTCAACAAATCAGTCACTTTCTTAGTTATTACTAAATGCTCACATTTAGTTCAAGAATTCATTTGAATTCTTGCTAGAGTGGCAGTTAATGAACTTTTAAAATCTTTTTAGTTGATTTTTATAGTTTACTAATATGCTTTGTCATAGGCATTAATTTTAGTGAAAGAAGTAAGACTTGCAGGTTTCTTGGTGGAGACCAATTGTAATATAAGATTTTTTCAAAATCAAAATATCAAAATTATTATTTAACTAACAGGAAATTTAGTCATGGTAGTCATTAGATCCAAATCATCTGTATGTTCTGTTTGGAAATTTTTTGAATGCTGTATGCAGATACTTCAGCCAGTCATCCTCTTCTACTACTGTTCTAGCTTTTGATTAGTTGTGAAAGTTGGGAGCTTTTCACAGCTAATGCTTTTCCATTGATCTTCTAGCACTATTGTTGATGATTCTGCTAGAAGAAAAGCGGCCACCACAGCAAAATTCTTACTCTGTTTTATTAATGTAGAAACTTCAATCAGAAAAGACCTTTTTCTGTTGACAACAATGTTAAGAAGGTTTATTAAACATCCTTTTGGTAGTGACATTATGCCATATGTTTTATGGAATGAAAAAGTGTAAGAGGTCCCTGCTTTGAGGATCTTACAAACTAACATGATTTATGGCAGGACATGCAACAAGTAGGTTCTTTGGTGTTTACTTTTGTGTAATCAAATGTAGATGATGAAAAAGGTACTTACAAGTATTTGAAATCTAGATAATTAGAAAATGTGAATAGCTGTTTCTCACTTATGTTTTCTGCTTTATTGCTCTTCTACCTGGCTTAGATAATAAGGCCAAGATATTTATCTGGTTTGATCTTAAATGCTTGAATTCATATATTTTTTTAAGAAATAGCTGCTTTCAAGTTGGTTGCCAGTGAGTAAAAAAGGATTTAAGTGTTTGAGTGCAGAAGTAATAACAGAGTTCTCTTAATTTTATAATTATTTTCCAGAATTATAAGGAACACTATCCAATAGTCTTACGTATAGGACACTGTGCATAAAAGCAGTATTTACAGCACACTTTTCCTTAAAATCTTTTCCTTAAAATACAGTGAGCTGTATACTAAGTGTTCACATTTTATATTCCTTCCAGGATCCAAGAATTCTGTAGCTATAATGTTGTCAAGACTTTTTCGAATGCATGGCCTCTTTGTGGCCTCCCATCCCTGGGAAGTCATAGTGGGGACAGTGACACTGACCATCTGCATGATGTCCATGAATATGTTTACTGGTAACGATAAGATCTGTGGTTGGAATTATGAATGTCCAAAGTTTGAAGAGGTTAGTGAAGTTAATTTGATATTGACTAAATTAGTAAATTACATTTTCAATTTCTAAAGAGCCCTTATATGGTCCTTTTAGAGACCACATAATTTTTAAAAGTTATGGTAAAATCTTTATTTTAGTATTTAGGAACTTACCTCAAATTTCTGTTTACTTTTATAGAATGTACTAGAAATACTATTATTTTGCTTTCTCTTCAGAAATGAACGTAATTGACTTTATTTGAGAAATAATGTCTAAGTGACTGATAGTGAAAAATGATTGTGGGCCAGGTATAGTGACTTATGCCTGTAATCCCAGCACTTTGGGAGGCCAAAGCAGGAGAATTGTTTGAGCCCAGGAGTTCAAGATCAGCCTGGGCAACCTGGGCAACATAGTATGACCCAATCTTTAAAAATAAATTTAAAAATTAGCTGGGTGTGGTAGCATGCACCCGTAATCCTGCTACTTGGGAGGCTATGGCAGGAGGATCCCTTAAGCCTGAGCGGTCGAGGCTGCAGTGAGCTATGGTTGCACCACTGTACTCCAGCCTGGGTACCAGCATGAAACCCTGTCTTAAAAAAAAAAGAAAAGATTGTGTTGATGTATCGGCTTACCACAGTGGTTTGTTTAAAGGTTGGTTTTAATTTTTGATTTGTATGTTTGATATTTTTATTGGACTTGTATTGTTCCTACATTTGTGTTCTCATGATGATATAGAAATGAATGACACATGCAAAATAAAAATTTTTGATTGCCTTTTTTTTTTTTTTTTTTTTTTTTGAGACAGAGTCTCACTCTATTGCCAGGCTAGAGTGCAGTGGCAGGCACAATCTTGGCTCACTGCAACCTCTGCCACCTGGGTTCAAGCAAATCACCTCCCTCAGCCTCCCAAGTAGCTTAGATTACAGGGACCTACCACCATGCCCGGCTAATTTTTGTATTTTTAGTAGAGACAGGGTTTCACTATCTTGGCCAGGCTGGTCTTTAACTTCTGACCTCATGATCCACCTGCCTTGGCCTCCCAAAGTGCTGGGATTACAGGCATGAGCTACCATGCCCAGCCTTGATTGCTTATTTTAAAAGTCAAAGCCATTGAAATTTCTTTTTCTGTCTCTCCTATTAGGATGTTTTGAGCAGTGACATTATAATTCTGACAATAACACGATGCATAGCAATCCTGTATATTTATTTCCAGTTCCAGAATTTACGTCAGCTTGGATCAAAATATATTTTGGGTAATAGTTTTATATATTTAACTTGTGGTGTCATCAGATTTTTTATTTGCTGTGGAAATAAACCTGTTTGTTCAAATGATATATTTGGAAATATGTGTATTGCTGAAAGTGTGCTGCATGCATTTAATAGTTTCTTTATTATTTGCAATTAGACATTCTGAAATCTTAATCTGGAGAAAACTAGTATTATCTCAGAATATTGCATGAGGCTGTTACTATTTGTGTAATAAGGATAAAGTTTTTTCAGTATTGAACTTTTGTCATTTTAGGAATTGCTGGCCTCTTCACAATTTTCTCAAGCTTTGTATTTAGTACAGTTGTCATTCACTTCTTAGATAAAGAATTGACAGGCTTGAAGTAAGTATTTAAAACCTAAATATACTTTCTGTCAAAATACATTTTAAAAACTTTTCTTCCCCATGTCGTAAAGATATATTTTCAAAAGTTAAGGAAATAAGGGGAAATTTTTTGTGTGATTTTGCTGTTGGCTAATTTCAATAACTATTAACATTTTGGCATATATCCTTTTCTACTTTTTTTATCACTTAAAAAATTTCTGAGATCATATATATTGTTTTGTAATTCATTTATGCATAATAATAGTTTATCAACATCTTTCCATGTCCTTTTTTTTTGAGACAGAGTTTCACTCTTGACACCCAGGCTGGAGTACAATGACATGATCTCAGCTCACTGCAACCTTCGCCTCCTGGTTTCAAGCAATTCTGCCTCAACATCTCAAGTAGCTGGGATTACAGGCACCTGCCACCATGCCCAGCTAACTTTTGTATTTTTAGTAGAGATGGTGTTTCCCCATGTTGATCAGGCTGGACTTGAACTCCTGAACTCAAGTGATCCACCTGCCTTGGCCTCCCAAAGTGCTGGGATTGTAGGCATGAGCCACTGCGCCCGGCCTCCATGTACTTAATGATAAACTAAATTGTTTTTAATGGCTATATATATTCTCTTCTGTCTAAACGTCTTGTAGTTTGTTAATTGTCTAATGTTGGACTGTTAGGTTATTTTTTCATTAATAACGATACTGTGTTGAATGTCTTTGTAGCTAAATTTTTGTTCATATTCATAATTATTAAGCTACATTCTTAGGAGTGAGACAGTGGTTTTGCTGTTTTTAGAGCTTTGTGCTTTTTTATTATTATTATTTTTTTTTTTTTTTTTTTTTGAGACAGTTTCACTTTTGTTGCCCAGGCTGGAGTGCAGTGGCGTGATCTCAGCTCATTGCAACCTCTGTCTCCCAGGTTCAAGCCATTCTCCTGCCTCAGCCTCCCAGGGAGTAGCTAGGATTACAGGCATGTGCCAGAATGCCCAGCTAATTTTTTATATTTTTGGTAGAGATGGGGCTTCTCCATGTTGGTCAGGCTGGTCTGGAACTCCCAACCTTAGGTGATCCGCCCACCTCGGCCTTCCAAAGTGCTAGGATTACAGACGTCAGCCACTGAGCCCAGCTTTTTAGAGCTATTATTGCCAATTTAGTCTCGAGAAAGTTTGTTTAGTTTATCCTTCCACAGTTAGTGATCAGTGAAATCATTTTTTTCCCGTTGAATGTATCTGATCATTTTGTTCTTTTCCAGTGAAGCTTTGCCCTTTTTCCTACTTCTGATTGACCTTTCCAGAGCAAGCGCATTAGCAAAATTTGCACTCAGTTCCAACTCACAGGTAAGTATTACTTATATGATAGGCATGTGAATAGTATTCTTTTTTTCAGTTTATATTAGTAGGAAGGATTAATAGAGTTTCTTCATAGCCCAAGATTTAGGAATTGCCCAGAATTTTAACTTTAATTCTCAAGTCCCAAGACTGGTCTTCATAAGTCCCAGGAACAGTCCCATTTATCTAACAACTCAAAATTACATAGCTACTGGAATTTGGAACTGCCCCATTTTTCTGTTTTAAAGTTTTCAGAAATTATGGTAATAATAATTTTGGGATAAATAAGAATATTTACCTAGTGAAACAGATCTGAGAGCAGAACAGGATCTAATGGAAGAGAACCCCAGGGTAGATTGATTTAATTTAATTTTTGTGAGATGTAGTCTCACCCTCTCGCCCAGGCTGGAGTGCAGTGGCATGATCATGGCTCACCACAACCTTCGCCTCCTGGGTTCAAGGAATTCTCCTGCCTCAGCCTCCTGAGTAGCTGGGATTACAAACACTCACCACCATGCCTGACTCATTTTTGTATTTTTAGTAGAGACAGAGTTTTGCCATGTTGGCCAGGCTGGTCTCCAACCCCTGAGCTCAAGATTGCCTGCCTTGGCCTCCCAAAGTGCTGGGATTATAGGTGTGAGCCACCGCGCCAAGCCAGATTTATTTTTAAACTCTTTAAATTAACCTGGCATTATTGCCTATTTTAAGTTTCATCTTAATATTCACTAGTCACTCTAAAGAACCTAACCTTTTTAACAATATTGTATCAGAGTATCTTGAGTACAAAATAGCATATAATTCTGCCCTGGTTATTTATTTGATGAATGTTTATGATTTGACCATGTTGACAAGGAAATGAGTTTGGTTTTATAATACTAACATGAGGCTGGCACTGTGGTCATGGTGGAGGGGACTGCAGTTCTGAGGTGGAACAGGCCGGGCACCAAGGCGCAGGATTTCTATAATTGGCCTGATGAATCCTTTGATGAAATGGACAGTACACTAGCTGTTCAACAGTATATTCAACAGAATATAAGAGCTGATTGCTCCAATATTGACAAAATTCTTGAACCACCTGAAGGCCAAGATGAAGGTTTATGGAAGTATGAACATTTAAGGTAATTCTGCCTTGAGCTAAATGGACTTGCTGTCAAACTTCAGAGCGAATGCCATCCAGATACTTGCACTCAAATGACAGCAACTGAACAATGGATTTTTCTTTGTGCAGCTCATAAAACTCCAAAAGAGTGTCCTGCTATTGACTACACTAGACACACATTTGATGGTGCTGCATGTCTTCTGAATAGCAATAAATATTTTCCCAGCAGGGTTAGCATAAAGGAACCATCTGTAGCGAAACTAGGATCAGTATGCCGTAGGATTTACAAAATATTTTCACATGCTTATTTTCATCATCGGCAGATATTTGATGAATATGAAAATGAAACATTTTTGTGTCATTGGTTTACTAAATTTGTGATGAAATATAATTTGATGTCCAAGGATAACCTGATTGTACCAATTTTAGAAGAGGAAGTACAGAATTCAGTTTCTGGGGAAAGTGAAGCATGAAGGGAATCATATGGAAAAATATACTGATCACATAATTAACATTAATTATGTACTGTATATATCATTTTAGACACATCAATCATGTATCCATATTATAGCTTCTTTGTTTAGTATAGATTTTTGTATGCTGGGTTTGCCTTTTAAATGGGAAATACTTTTTAAGTTATTCATAAGCTGTATATTCACCAATGTGGCACTCATGGTTTTTAAATAAGATTAGTATTATCTGTTTATAATGCCTGTTAATAAAAGAATTTACAGTTTGGTAAAAAAAAATAAAAATAAAAAAATACTAACATGATCTCGTAAAAAATTTGCAACTAAGTTTCTGTCAATGGTAGGCAAAAATATAGAATGTTGTAAGATTTAATTCTGGGATTAAATGACAGAGTTAATGCACCACCTCAAAGGAATATTCCTAAGAAATATCTTATTCAGTGGAAAGAGAATGAGGGCACTATATATGTTCTTTTTAAAAAATTTGGCTGCGTGTGGTGGCTCACACCTGTAATCCCAGCACTTTGGGAGGCTAAGTTGGGCAGATCATGAGGTTAGGAGTTCAAGACCAGCCTGGCCAGCATGGTGAAACCCCGTCTCTACTAAAAATATAAAAGTTAGCTGGGCATAGTGGTGCGCACCCATAATCCCAGCTACTGGGGAGGCTGAGGCAGGAGAATGGAACCAGGAAGTGGAGATTGCAGAGAGCCGAGATCGTGCGACTGCACTCCATCCTGTGTGACAGAGCAAGTTTCCGTCTCAAGAAAAAAAGCTCTTATATTACTATCATACTTTCTATCTTGAATACCTGTTTTATCATATTGTATATTTTACTCTTTGAATAGTAATTTTATACTATTATTATTATTTGATACTAATATAAGCCATAGGATGCTCTAACATTTTAAAAAGTTTTTTGCACCTTGCCATCATTGATATGTTTGATCTGTTTTAGGATGAAGTAAGGGAAAATATTGCTCGTGGAATGGCAATTTTAGGTCCCACATTTACCCTTGATGCTCTTGTTGAATGTCTTGTGATTGGAGTTGGTACCATGTCAGGTTTGTAAGCAATTTTTGCTATATTTTAAAGTAGGTATGTCACTAAAGAGGAAAAAGAACATCTTGGATTTGCATTATTTATTGTTAAATTCTGACTTTTAAATTACTCTTAAAATAATTTTATTGTATTAATATGTGGGTATATCTGGCCTTGTGTCAGTTGGCTTTGGTGAAAACTTAGCAGCAGGTCACTGATTTATTTTTTACTCCTGCCATTCTCTGTGTTCCACTTCTTTATATTTTTGTTCATTTGCTTGCTTTTGTTTGGTTTTTAACCAATATTACATTCCAAGGTTGGTCTGGAAAACACCTTCCAGCCCCTCCTGTTACTTAGACTTTATTTGTGACTTGGTTCCTTGTGTTTTAATTGTCAGGTAGGGAGACAAGAGTCAGGAATTGGACAGATGTGAGTAAAATTCACCTAATAAGGTGATTGGAGATATTTAATCCAATAGTAAGCAGTACATCTCAGCAAGTACCTAGCATTAGCCTCAACACGTTTCTTCATTCTTAATTGGATAGTAGAGAATTACATATTAACATCAAACATAGGACTTCATTATATAGAATAAAAATTACGGCCTGGCATGGAAATTTGCCAGATTGAACGTATCATGCTGTGTGAAGGTCTCCTAATCATTAGGACTATATTTTATGGCTTTCTCATAAAGACCATACTTAGTTAACTACTGTGTATTTCCTGGTACCTTAGAGCCCTCAATGAAATAGATGTCTCATTCTTTCAGAAGTGAATTATCTAATTTTTAAGGAAGTAGTTGGTTGTCATTAGTTTAGGTCTCTTCAGTGGATAGTATATTAAAAATGTCATATTGCTTCTTAGTTTCTGAGAGTAAATTATTTAGTTATTCTTTTCAAAAAAGATTTTATTTAGAAAATAATATATTTTTTAATTTAAAAAATTTACTTACCTTAAAATTCACTTTCGGGAGTACAGTTTTATGAGTTTTGACAATGACATAGTCAGGTAACCACCACTACACTCAAGAAGAACGTTGATTAGATCAAAATATACTTGTATGATTTTATTTAAGCAAAGGAACATATGAGGAAAGGATTAGCCGGGAAGTAATGGTTTGGCCATGAAACCAAGGGATTATTCATGGAAACTAATGTGGAAGGCAGTTGGGTGATACGGTTAGAGAAGTAGGCAAAGGAGGTATTAGATCTGTGGTTGGAGAAGGCAGTGAGACATTTACAGCTATACAGAAATGGTATAGTTAGAGACTTGGGTTAGGGTAGAAAAGGACAGATTTAACACATATTAACTTGGAAGTAACCCTTTGAAAAGGCCAGTACAAAAAGAAGAAAGTCTTAGCTTGGATGTATGTGGATTGGTACTGTTTCTTTGTGTACAGAGAGACTTACTTGAAACACAGTAAGGAAGAATGCCTGGAGAGCATATGCCAACAACATGAATGAATATTGTGCAGAGAGAAATAATAGATAGTCGGGTTGTGAAAGCATTGGTCAGGTATGGTTTCAATGGCCTCAAGTTTGAAAAGATTATATCAAAAAGGTAGTTTGATTTATAATGCTTTTGTTACTGTGATTTTGTAGTCTCTTGAATTTCCATATTTGAGAGTAATTGTGGAATTAAAAAAATACAATATATGCTTATTCTAGTCAATCAAATGATATCTTAAAATTCAGAAAATAAAATCTAACTTTCAGTTTTTGATAGTTTTTCTAGTGAGCAGCTTTTATAGGACATTTTAAATTTATGTTTCAAAGTGTTGTTATATTTGAGTGACATCAGAAATATATTTTATATTATACTCAAGTTTATTTGTAAAGTGAGGGAGAAGGATTTGGTGGCAATTTAAGGTGTCTTCCAGCCTCTATAATTCTGTTGTTTGCTATTTGAGATTAACAGATGATACTTTATACATTTTGTGGTGGAATATATGTTAATTTTTAATCTTGAATTGCCATTTTGTATTATATTATTTTCCAAACAGATCAATGAAATAACCAAAATTATAAGAACTTCGGTAGGCATCATAGAGGGTATATTGAAATTAGAGTTTGGTGGTACACAAAAAATACTATTATATCAGGACTGGCATAACTGGTAGGATATTCTACTTCTAAGAAATAATCCTTGGTTCATAAGCAAATTGCTTTTCTACTAAGAAGTGGGATTAGATCAATAGTGTAACTGAGATTTTGTTCCATTAGAGTAGCCTGTCATCTATTTCCTTATTTCATAACAAGGCACTACTGTTGGACGGCAAGGAATTGGAAACACATATGTTTATCAGTTGTGTATTAAACATTACATTCTGCCTGGCATTGTGATACTAGAGACATGTGAGAAGGCGAGATCTTTGCCCTTGAAGGACTTAGAGTTCTGTGGTTATTCCTGCTGTTCCCTAAGGATTGGCATCCCCTCTGAGTTGCTAATTCTATTTCCAGTAAATGTACTTATATTTTCATGTATTTGTCTACCTGCAGGAAGACAAATATATTCTTGTAAAATATGTACAAAAATATGTACATCAAAATATGTACACTTTACTAGTTATATATTTAATTTTTCTCTAACCAGGAGTGCGTCAGCTTGAAATTATGTGCTGCTTTGGCTGTATGTCAGTTCTTGCCAACTACTTCGTGTTCATGACTTTCTTCCCAGCTTGTGTGTCCTTGGTATTAGAGGTAAGACCAGTTCTTGCATATGGCACTAGTAGAAGAGTAAGATTTTTGCTTACATCAGTTTACCTAAATAGAATCAATACCTTCTAACGTCTCACTGACTTAATTTGTAGCTTTCTCGGGAAAGCCGTGAGGGTCGTCCAATTTGGCAGCTCAGCCATTTTGCCCGAGTTTTAGAAGAAGAAGAAAATAAGCCAAATCCTGTAACTCAGAGGGTCAAGATGATTATGGTAATGACATCGTTTTCTTCTCCTTTTAGTATTCTCAGTTCCAATCTCATTCTTGTAAGATTTCTTTTTCTTTACAATTTTTGCTCTATTCAATGATATTGCACCTTCTTCTTCCTTTTTGTCTTAACGTGTTCAGTTCTTTGAGGCTCCTGGTCTTTATTAGTCCCTCTCCCCTAAACCGACTTTTTAAGTTCCTCCACCTTCTCTCTCTGAAAACCTGTTCTTTGGGATGTTTTCAGTATTTCAGTGGAGTCACTACTTTAGTTAGCTGCATAGCAAGCTAGGGGCTTTCTTTTCTTGGTAAGGGGAAGTTATGAGAGATAATGTCTGGATGTCCAGGCTAGAGATAAGAAACTTAGGTTCTGTTGATATGCAGAGGATACATCATTTAAAAAATTTTATTTCAGTCTCTAGGCTTGGTTCTTGTTCATGCGCACAGTCGCTGGATAGCTGATCCTTCTCCTCAAAACAGTACAGCAGATACTTCTAAGGTTTCTTTAGGACTGGATGAAAATGTGTCCAAGAGAATTGAACCAAGTGTTTCCCTCTGGCAATTTTATCTCTCTAAGTAAGTTAATTGAAATCTGCTTTGTGATATATTAATCATAACACTCTATGCTAATGTAAGTTTAGATTTTGACCTTTACATTTCTGAATAATATTTTAATTTGCTTTCTTTTACTCAGAATGATCAGCATGGATATTGAACAAGTCATTACCCTAAGTTTAGCTCTCCTTCTGGCTGTCAAGTATATCTTCTTTGAACAAGCAGAGACAGAATCTACACTCTCCTTAAAAAACCCTATCACATCTCCTGTAGTGACACAAAAGAAAGTCCCAGACAATTGTTGTAGACGTGAACCTCTGCTGGTCAGAAATAACCAGAAATGTGATTCAGTAGAAGAAGAGATGGGGATAAATCGAGAAAGAAAAGGTAGCTTTTTATTCTCTTCACTTTCAATCCTTCACTGCTTTGTCAAAAGGTAGTCTGTTTTCAAAATTATGTGCCATGTTGTGTAATTTCTTTTGATCTCTTGGACAGCTGAGGTTATAAAACCCTTAGTGGCTGAAACAGATACTCCAAACAGAGCTACATTTGTGGTTGGTAACTCCTCCTTACTCGATACCTCATCAGTACTGGTGACACAGGAACCTGAAATTGAACTTCCCAGGGAACCTCGGCCTAACGAAGAATGTCTACAGATACTTGGGAATGCAGAGGTGAGAACGATAACATAAACTCAAACGTGGCATTTTTCTTTAAAAAGGAGCTTTTTCAAGGAAGAAAAATCTAGTATCTGCTGAACACTACAAC